AAACTATATTAACTATATATAACTTAAAATACGAGTACAATTGGAATACCAAATAACATCACAAAGACCAAGACTAGCCTGAACCCAAATTTCCTTAAACTTACACAGATAACCAAAGGAAAAGCATAACAACCGAAACACTTTCAAAACAGAAGACAACAGACTCTCAACACAGGATACGAAAACCCTGACAGGCTGACACAATCGAAACCAAAACACAAACAAAAAATAAAAACAACACTTGGGGATAGGTCAAGGGTTCAAGCCCCCGGAGCGCAATGATGAAACAATTAATACTGATGACTACAAGCGGCAGTGTGGGAGGCTAAAATTCGGTGGGAATCAGCGGTTGGATAGGTGGGGCCAGCATGAAGTTGAGGGAGCTAGGGAGCAATCACTTCGGTGGGACTCTGCGGCTGGATAGGTTAGGCCAACAGGAGTTGGGAGGACCAGCGAGCAATCACTTGTGGATCGACTCCTTGTGCGCGGTAGTTGAGGATATGAACCTGGGAACCATTACGTGGTTATCGCGGTTTAATCTGGAGGCAGTTTGTGAGAGGCCAGCATGTTTCCTCGAGGACTAGTCAGGCGCAAGAACCTCAATATCACNAGGAGACGAAAACTCGGGTACAACCAGAACCAACCAAAAACACAAACAGAAGATAAAAACAGCACACACACACACACCTAAAAAGGTAAAATACAGCCTCCCCTACTTCTAGAGGGCCTCCGACAGCTACTACTAGTAAAAAACACACGCTCAAGTCTTCAAATTGAAAGACGAAAAGGGATCACTATGATCACTCGAACGGCTATGCAGATCTGGCGAGGAGCCAACCTCAAGCTCAAATTTGAATTTCCCCAAAAGCCCCTAAAACCGAAGAGACACCCGACCACCGGACCCCACCCAAGCCAAAAAGAGATATCCATAGACCTCCGCCGCCCAACTCTCCAAACCAAGGTAGCAAGTGGGTCGTAGGAAAGCGACCCCATCGCCGGGCTAGCCATGGCCGGACAAGCAGCTTACTGAAATCTGCCACTGCGAGAAGAAGGGGAGGAGCAATCCGATCTGATTTTTGTGTTCCTTCTACAAATGGAAAAAGCTAAAGAGAGAGAAGTTAGGTATTTGATGATTTATTGCTTGGATAATTGAAGTTAATAGTTAGTAGTTACATATTGTTTGAATTATCGCCAATGAATTCCTAGAATATTTTTGTTTATACAAATTTAATAGATATCAAATGCGACATTTGTAAAATTGAGTAAGGCTGAGGATGGCAGTAGGGTATTAGCATAAGACGTGTTCTGGTTTTTCTTCCTAATATTGTAGAGGTTGAAAAGTGAAAATTGTCTTTTTTTTATCATACAAATGTTCATTGTTATCAATTTGGTTAACTCAATAAAAGGGTATTAGCATTGGTTAACTCAATAAAAGGTATTAGAATAAGACGTGTTCTGGTTTTTCTTCGTGTAGAGGTTGAAAAGTGAAAATTATCTTTTTTTTTTTATCATACTAATGTTTTCTTACTTATTTTGACAATTTATCAATTTGGTTAACTCAATAAAAGAAATGGCAATTTGGCTAAACTCAATAAAATAAACTGCATTTTGACCGATTTGGTTAAACTCAATAAAATAACCTGCATTTTGACAAAAATTGAGTCATTGATTTCAATTTGATTCAACTTAATAAAATAACCTGTATTTTGACATAAATTGAGTCATTGTTTTCAATTTTGTTCAACTTAATAATAAAAGAACAAGCATAGCTTTCAAAGTTGCGTGCTTGCATTGATTGAAATTGACTTTGAAATGAGACCCATTTTCGTATAGCTTGTGATTATCAAATTTAACAAAATTTTCGCCAGTCATGTCAAAGTGCGGGTTATTCGTGATGTTGAGATTTAACAATTGCCGATTATATTTTGGTTACTCATCTCAAAGCAAGGAACATTTGCAGGTTCCTGTGCTTGATTGTTCTTAGTTGCATGCCAGAGTGCCGCAATCAGGGTTATTCGTGATGTGGAGATTGAACAATTGCCGATTAGGATTTCAAATTTAAATATCATTTTATTTAAAAAATCAAAATAAAAGTATGACGTTTCACAATAAAAATATGCAATCTTGTTAAAGAAGTATGATGAATAGGTCGTCCTACACAAGAATTTGCATTGTGCAAATAAATATGTTCCAAGAACACAAGTCATAAATCATAATGAGCGGGCATTTAAAACTTTCAAATCCGACGTATGTAAACGGAGACTGAAAGAGCATAAAATGGCAGCACACTTTCGAAAAGCACGAGCCTTTTGCTAGCCGAATTAGAATATGATGCGTTTCAATTTGTGATGATATGTTCCTCAAAACATAATTAGAATATGAAATATGAATTCACACACATGCCTGACATCCTAGCCTCTGCTGTTCGAACTCATATTTCATCTTCCTCGAAAGGATCTCGTTCTGGAAAGTCACCGACCTGAAAATTACAGAAACACAGTGACAATCTCTACATCATACACCTCTCAGGACGTGTGATCATGTTCATTAAAAGTACGAGACATTAGCTCGACTTTCATTGATTATTACCAATAAGATGCACTCTAAGGTTAAACTAACTGCACTTGAACATTATCAGTATCACTTTTTTACGAGACCAAACACAAACAAGTCCTGCATTTAGAAACACGTTTATTCATTCCGCATCTCACTTTGCACGTAAACTCAACCCCAACTAGTTTACCCTCAAAATTCCTATATTAACCAGTTTTGAAGTTACAATTCCTTTTACAAAAGTGATCCAACTTAAAGTAGCCTATTGTACAAATTTTGCCTCAGCAAGTAATTGCAGCCATCGGCAATTACTTAAAACCTCATCTTTAGTACCAAGGTGTGAAAAAATAACAAAAATTTGAAGATTTCTTAACATCCATCAATAAAGTTACTAGAGAATCGAGAACCAGACTATCTAAATTGAGTTTGTAAAGAAGAACAAAAAATTATCAGAAAATCAAATCAAATAGATTTATAGTTGTTGAGTGCAAACCTTGACTTTGTCCGGTCTGACCATTCCACCACAAAGAGGCGGGCACTCAAAATAACGCTTTCCTTTTACACTGTAAAAATCAAATGGAAGCATGATCAAATGCATAATTTAACCCTCAAACTATTGTATAACCTCCCAATAGTCGACTAAATTTTCTTCAGCCGAACAACTTAGATTTGGTTACACCACCAGCAGTCTACTTCTCTTTCTTTTTTTATTACCACATAATACATCACTTTCCCAGTCAGTAATCCACCACATGAAGGAAGAACTAACAGTTGCATAATTGATGAATTGAGAGGGGAAGATTTTTTTTGTATGAACATATCCATCACCAAATACCAAATCATAAATGAATATATACTCTATATTAATCATAGAAAGGATTTTATAAGCAGAAAAATGAATGATAAACAGTTCTAACAGAATCAAGTGACAAACTGTAATAAACCGAGAGGAAACGTTTATGAGATAAAACGCCAACAAAAATCTGATCAGCAGAACACGTTTTTCATTCTATGCTCATTTTACTTCAACACCACAACATATTTTCCATTCTATATTCATTTCAATCATAAATATTACCAAATAGTGTGTTTTAAGGCTTGGTTATTACAAAATGGTCCCTAACTAGCCTGAAATTGTGTATGATGTGTCATGAAGTTGAGAATATAACATACAGGCCATCGTGTTTCCCAAGAGGTTCGTCATACTGGATTCCCACCCAGAAACCAGGTTGAAGAGTTTCGGCCCGACCCACAAATTTCACAACCCCTCTTTTCTCCCCTGGTTCAACTTGACATCTGTCTCCCACCTAATTGACAAAAACAAAGGGAAAGATTTTAAAAAGGATAAAAAAAAAAAATGCTGCACACACGCCAAAATAATAAATGAAAGGTCAAAAGGCCAAAATTCAGCATAAACAAGTTTGGTATATCATGCTAGAAGGTTTAATTTGAAATGCAAATTTTGGACAAAATAAAATTTAATTGAAAGGCAGGATAAAAAGGAGCAAGCAGACCTTTATGTTCGCACAAAGATCCTCCATGTAGTTGTCTGCAATCTGTTCATAGGTAAGAAAACTAAGACAAATAATACGAAAGAGATATACAGCAATGATAAAACGCAGCCAAGTCAAACAATTGTTAACTAAGGTCAATTTTAAGACAAAAAAAGTTCAATAGTCAAAATAAACAAACCAACGTAAAAAAAGTAAAAAAGCATTACACGCTAAGTATCTTACAAAGAAGCTACATTTTATCAGCAGATAAATCAAAAGGATAAATACGTACTTTAGACTCGGTATTTGAATGTTGATGTCCCAGTTTTTCCTTAAACTTCCTGTATGTACCTGGAACATGTGATCAAATGATACTCAACCTTAACTCATCAGCAAATAAAATATTTTAATAAATTCTAAGATGCAGCGTATCTAGAAAAAAAAAAAAAAATATATATATATATATATATATATACACACACACACACACACACACAATGTGTGTTTGTGTGTGTCTATGTGTGTCTGCGCGTGAGAGAGAGAGTGATAGAGAGAGAGAGAGAGAGAGAATATATGCTTCAAAATTAAAATGAAAATGAAATTGAACTAACAGGCCTGGAATCAGGATACAGAAGCCAAATAATTGAACTAATACATTGATAATGATTGAACGACAGAAGTGAAATTTTCAAAATCATAATCTAACCTTTAGATTATAAATTAAGAAGAATCAGATAGTTAACCAAGGTCTTGAAAGTTTACTAATTTCTGAACAATGTAATGCATGGAGGAGAACCTAGAACTCAATTTTGTCTGAATTGAGCAAGACAAGACAAAGATAATTTTTCTTTTTTTTTTTTTCAAGCTGGCAAATACTAAGGCATACCATCAAGTTTGTCATATGCTTCATCGGAAATTTTGTATTTCTCAACAAGGGATGTATCATCCAGCCAACCACCAGACGTCACTGATGTGGGGTCAAGATCAATGATGTGCAGCCGGAAACTAACAAAAACAGATTGATAGTCACCATATTAAGAATGGCAATACACTAGAATGACCATAAAGAAAAAAATGAATAAAGTACATTGGTATGGACACATTTGGATGAAAAGGTTCACAGAGTAATCAATTATTCATCCATTGAACTGAAAACACATACTGAAAACTGGAGATCCATTGAACTGAAGACTCATACTGAAAGCTGGAGAAAATCGGTCATGGAACGACAGCTAAAATGTTTCACCCTTGACTTATGGTACATAAATTGAGTCACTTGAAAAATGTGAATTAACTAAAGTGATATGTTTGTTAATATTTTTGGCAAAATCCTCTGAACAATAAAATCAGGCTCAGGAACAAATCTTTATCTGTGGAGGACAGATATAATTTTTGGAAGCGATGGTAGAGAAATGCAGTTGGTGCCTGCCAATACACATCACATATGATTTCAATTCCAATAGACATAGTGAGCAATCCATACACAATTAGACCATTTCTTTTAACAACAGAATGGATGCAAAACAGTGAAAGTACTGAGAAATCAAACAAGCAATCAAAGTCACACAAGTTCTTCCCTGTACAACTCAACAACAATAATATTCTAGCTGAATGTATGTTATCAGAATGTCGGAAGACCAATAGTTCATGATAAAAACAGTCAATACCTACCCATCTTGTGGAGAATAGAACCCAAGCAGTCTGGTGTTATCCGCTAGGTTTGCAACTTTAGCTCCCGTATCATCATAGAGCTCAAGGCACATAGAGTCAATGGAAGTTCCGCACTTTCTCCATAATTTCTCTTTCACAGCCTCTACTGACATCTGTATAACAAAGACAAAACAAAGTCAGGCATCAAGCACATAAATTGCATTTTTCATGCACATATTTGTTTGATATATTATCTCAATAGTTGACAATAAACACCATCGGCCAAAAAAACAATAAGCGGAAAATATTGTTTGACCTGACAGCCAAATTTTACAGAAAGCAGCTGCTAAACAAAAGGCGCGCTAAAGCCAATTAAAATGTACTCATTTCTTGATTCTCTGTTATCTTAAAGCCTGACCATATCTGAGTAAAATAGTTACTAGTCTATGTCCCAAATCCATCAATTATATATGTAGCATGACATACAACCAGCACCAACAAAACCACTAAACAGAAAAGAAGAATGATCATATCTCTTAAATCATAAATTGAGTAAAGAATACAATTAGCCAGATATTCGTCCTGTTAAATGTCAGATGACAGGATTAGAATATCAGGAACACGCTACAGAAGAAAAGTAGAAACAAATTCAAGCATCATCAGCAAAGAAAGCGAAATGGCAAATCCACTTACTTGCAGAGAGAACCGAACATCGGCAGAAAAACTCTTGATGTTGGAGTGAGTAAGACGTAGAAGAACTGATTCATCCCCTTGAATCTGTAACTTGTTAGCCATATCCTTCAACTTGTTTTTTTCACTACAGAGACTATCCATAACCAAAAGCAACAAAAATCAACAACCCCTAGATTTTGACGAATTGTATGAACAACAACTTCAAAAAAGACGCACAAAATAACGAATCTGCACTGTCAACAATTTTACATTTCAACAACATTTGCCAAGTAACTACTCATATATCTAAGAAAGAACAATAAATGAAGTTTCCCTCCATGAAATTCACAACTAATACAAACCAAGTGCTTGAAACTAAAGAAGTGAAGCAATCAGACATTGTTTATTGCTTGGTTACAACGGGAAAAATCTCGAGAAATACGGCGAACAGTAAGAAGAGATAGAAAAATAAAACAGAAAAGTGACATACACGTTGTGAGCTTGCCGGAAAGTCCCGATGGTAAGCCGGCGGGTGGGAAGACGGAGGTCGAGGTCGAGGTCGGAGTGTAGATTTCTGGAGCTCGAAACACAGATCATTGATTTTGCACTGTAATTAATTATTGAGAAAATTTAATTTTGAACGCATAATGGACGTCATAAATATATATTTTTTTATTTTCGTTTTTCTTAAATGACGAAGCTCGGATCAAGGTCAACCCATTTGGTCCAAAAATAAGGGGTTACGTCCTATTTTTCTGTCATTTAAATTACCATATTTTTTGTCAGTCAATCTAACTGAAAAACTAACTTATATAATAAAAGTGTTTAGTAAAATTAGTTGATAAGTTAGTTGAAATAAATAAAGAAATTTATGAGATAAACTCAATTTTTATTTGAACCTAAGAAGTTCATAAAATAAGCTTGATCTTTTTAAAAAAGTTCATCCTACTAAACAAAATTTATTTGAATATAAAAAAACTTATAAGCTAATCAAATAAGCTAGCTTAAATAAATTATAAGCTAACTATTTGGTTACCAAATATAATCTAAGACTAGACCCAAGATTAATGGATTAGTTTGCATGAATGTTTATATTTACGTGTCAAGGAGGAAAAAAGTGGCCAGGTAATTGATATCGTGGATCAACAACTAGGTCACGTAGGTCAAAAAATCAGTCTGTAACGCTTATTTTATCGTGACCCAAATGTTGGGTCACCCCCCAATACACAGAAAAAAAAATAATAAAAAAAAAAAAAATTAGTTGCATGATTTAAATTTGGTATATAATATATTGAAAAAAATAAAAAAAAATATTAAAATTTATATTTTTTCATCCTCTACAAATGTAGACCACACTTGATATGTTTTGGAATAAAATTATTATTTTTAAATAAATTTAAAAAAAAAATATTTAAGTTGAGTTGAGTTGGGGATAAAGATAAATTGGATTGTAAAATTGAATTGTGTAGGTGGAGGAGAGAGAAATAATTTCTAATTATTAGATTGGGTTGGGGATAAGGATAGTCTTAGGAAGCTTTAGATTCACTTCTCTTTTAGATATAATTAACCTTATTTAATAACTAAATAAGTAAAATGGATGAGCATTAAATTCAATTTGAGAGCTAGTAAAATATGATACAAGCTATTAGCTCACATTCAGAAAAACCAAAAAAGAGTACTTACATGGTCGAGCATTTATAGCTCTTTCAATCATGCAAGAAGACGACCTAAACGACGTTGTGTACACATACTAAAATGACGTCGTACGCTATTTAATCCAACTAAAATGAAAAGAAAACAAAACGGTGTCGTCTTAGGCAGAACGACACCGTATGAACTTAAACAGAACAAAAGAAAATGCAGCAACAAATCATGCAAAGAAGAACAGGGAAATGCATGCAAACAAGAGATCTGCTCCATGATCTTCAACACCCGCCCCTCAAGTTGGGCCAGGATGAACCACAGTCATGCCCAACTTGCACAGAAGAGCAGCAAACCGTTTACCAGTGATGATTTTGGTGAATAGATCTGCCAGCTGGTGCAAAGAAGCAACAAACATAGGGAGAATGAAACCTTGCTTGAATTTGTCTCTCACAATGTGACAATCGATCTCCAAATGCTTTGTTCTTTCATGAAACACCGAGTTAGCAGAGATGTGCATGGCAGCCTGGTTATCACACCATAAAGGAATAAGAAAGATGATAGAAAGCTGAAATTCTTGAGCAAGGTAATGCAGCCACATCAACTCAGAGACAGTGGAACCCATAGCATGATTTTCAGCCTCAGCTGAAGATTTGGACATTGTATGCTGCTTCTTACTTTTCCAAGAGATAAGAGCATCTCCAAGAAAAATACAAAACCCAGTAATAGATCTTCTAGTGTCCTTACAGGTGGCCCAATCAGCATCACAGTAGGCAACAAGAGGAAAGATGTTGAGAGTGATGGACAAAATAAACCCAATGCTGGAGAGCCCTTCAAATATTTCAAGATGTGTAAGGCAGCATGCCAATGAGAATCATGAGGTGTGGTGACAAATTGACTTAGCTGCTGGACAGCATAAGTCACATTAGGCCTAGTGAGGCCAAGGTATAACAATCTTCCTATAAGTCTTCTAAACAAATCTGGATCTGCCATGGCTGTCCCACTGTGAGCCATTAACCTAATACCCAAAAGTAAAGGTGTAGGAGAAGCTGCACACTCCATCATGTTCATATCAGCAAGAATATCCATAATATATTTCCTCTGACATAAAGAAACCCCTCTGGTTGTATAAGCAAACTCAATGCCCAAAAAAAACTTTGCAATTCCCAGATCTTTGATAGTACACTGATCATCCAGAAATTGCTTCAAACCTTGAATCAGAGATAGAGATGAACTTGTGACCAGAATATCATCTACAGAAACCAACAAAGCCAAGAAATCTGTGCCTTTTGTAGTTGTAACAAGTAGTGATCATAGTGTGATTGAATAAGGCCATAATGAGATAGTTTAGTGCAAAGTTCATTATTCCACTCTCTTGATGCCTGTTTAAATCCATAGAGACTCTTAATTAACCTACATACCTTCCCTGGGGCTGCTTTGTCATAACCCAAAGGTGGCTGCATAAACACTTCTTCAGAAAGTGTGCCATCGAGGAAGGCATTATTGACATCCAACTGATGAATGGGCCAGCCTTTGTGTACTGCAACAGCAATGAGAAATCTGACTGTCACTAATCTTGCCACAAGTGAGAAAATGTCAAAATAATGGACACCTTCTATTTGACTATATCCCTTGGCCACAAGTCTGGCCTTAAACCTCTCAACAGACCCATCTGACTTCCTTTTGATTTTATATACCCATTTACTTCCTATTGTTTTCTTCCCATGTGGAAGGTCAGTAATTTCCCATGTATGGTTAGCTTCCAAAGCATCTATCTCCCTTTGTATAGCTTCCACCCAAGAAGGAAGTTGAACTGCTTGTTTGTAATGTACAGGTTCCTTTTCAAGGGAAATGTTAGCTGAGAATTCCTTTTCTGAGGTCAATAAATGTCCACAAATGTAGGCATGATGTCAGTTTGGTGCCCCGCTTGACCTCCCACTCCTCCTCAAACCTTCAGCACTGTGACCTTCATTTGGTGCAGGAACTATTTCAACTTCTGAATGGTCATCTTCTATGGCTTTGGCATGACAGTTTCAGATGTGTCACACGTGTTATGTAAGGAAACACATCATCAAAGAAAATCACATCTCTGGAAACAAAACATTCCCCATTATCCACATTGTAAAGTTGAAAACCCTTCTTTCCTGGAGCAAAACCAAGGAAAACACATTTACTTCCTCTAGGTTCATACTTAGATTTGAAAGGATGAACATTAGTGGCATATGCTAGACATCCAAAAGGCTTGAGATTTGCATAATCTGGTTGCTTCCCATAGATTTTCTCAAAAGGTGTAGCCCACTGTAGAGGAGCTCTAGGCAATCTGTTTATAACAAATGTTGCAGCTTGTATAGAATAAGGCCAGAATTTAATTGGTAGTTGTGCTTGATAGATCAGTGCCCTGCCAATTTCAAGTAGCTGCTTATGTTTTCTTTCAACAACACCATTTTGTTGTGGTGTGTACACACAAGTGGTTTCGTGGACAATTCCTTTTCCTTGAAGAAAGACTTGTATTTCATTTACCAAGAACTCCTTGCCATTATTTGTCCTTATTTTCTTGACTTTGGTGTCAAACTGAGTTTCAATCATTGACATACCACTCAACAATTTAGAAGCTTGTGACTTTTGTTCCATCAAGAATACCCAAACATTCCTACTATGATCATCCATTATAGTCAGAAAGAAAGGTGTACCAGTTATAGTTTCTTCTTTGCAAGGTCCCCAGATGTCAGCATGCAACATCTCAAAAATCCTGGTAGCATGTATGTAACTGCTTTGAAATGGAAGTCTTTGTTGTTTGGCTTTATGACATACTTCACAAGATAGAATGCTTCTTTCCTCTTGGTCTGTGTATTTTCCATTGAGAAATTGTATATGTTTCATGGTACTGACACTGGCATGACCAAGGCATTGATGCCATTGCTCCAAGGAGAATTTAGGTTTCACAGCATTAGCATGTACATTATTATCCTTGCTTAAAATGTACAAGTTTCCTTTTGAAATTTCTTTTCCCACCGATTGTCCATTGTCATTGTGAAATAAGTGGCAAGAGCTTGCTGAAAATGAACATTTTACCTTCTCATCTAGGCACAACTGGCTAACAGAGAGTAAATTGTACTTAAACCCAGGGACAAAAAGTACATTGTGCAAGGTTAAGGTATTATTCACAGATACTATCCCTGCAACATTCACTTTCTTACTTGATCCATCAGGCAGACAAATGGTGACAAACTCTTTCAAGGTATATGTGTGTTTCATAATACTGAAGTCACCACACATATGCTTACTAGCTCCAGTATCCATAATCCAATCACCACAAGCCACATCATTAGCAATGGTCCAAGCAAATTGCATTTCATCATCACTTTCCTTCTTTGTAAAACTCACCATTTGTGCAAAATCCACTTTGCTTTCTGCTGTATCTTTTCCTTTTATGAATTGTGTTAGTTCCTGCAGTTGTTTGACCACAATGGATAGATCACTTTCCTTTGAGCTTCTATTCTCATTCATAGGCTCTCTCCATTCTTCATTATCACCACACAGTTCCACATTGCTGGCATAGTTTGTTCCCTGTGTCTTCAATTCCTGGTACCAATCAGGAACACCATGTATTTTAAAACATGTGGAAACTGTGTGTCCTCTCATTCCACACTTATCACATAGCAGCTTAGCCCTTTCTTCTCTAGTAAGTCTAGTAAAACCTCTTCCACCTCTTCCACTTGTAAAATTTCCTCCTCTTCCACCAAAACCTCTCCCTTGATTATTTAGGCCTCTGCCATATCCTTCAGCTCTAGTGTTCATGGCTAGATTTTCAACTCTGTCAAAAGAGTTACTCACAGTTCTTTGCCTTTCTGCTGTGAGTGCCATTGAATATGCTTTGTTGACACTCGATAATGGATCAATCAGCATGATTTGATTTTTAAAACTATCATATCCTTCTTAGTCCCATAAGAAACTGTATGAGTTTGTTTTCAGCATCATTCTGAGCAAAAATTTTTCCTTTTTCACAATTACATAACTGAGTAGGAACAACACAAGCATACTCATCCCATAGCTTTTTCAATTTATTGAAATACTCCGTAACAGTACAATTTCCTTGAACTAAGGTATTAATTTCTCTCTGTAACTTACTTGTATTTCATTGGTCCATTATTCTCTCCAAACCTCAGACATACTTTATCCCACAGATCCTTAGAGATTTCAGCATAAACAAAAGATTCGACAACTTCTTTGGACATAGAACTCATAATCCATGATAAAATCATCCAATCAACCTTTTTCCACTCATCATATTCATCACTATTAACATTAGGTACGGAGATCTCACCATTGATAAAGTCGAGCTTTCTCTTAGCTCCTAGAGCTATCATCATCGATCGACGCCATGAAAGGAAGTTACTGTCAGTCAGTGGATGCGAAACGAGCACCAAGCCAGGATTATCGATCCATAAAGGAAGAAAGGATCCTGTCGCACACCAGATCCTCTTGTAATTTCTCGCCTTGTCGCCATTGATCTTCAATCAGTATGTTCGCCTAGAACCGATTGCTCTCGATACCATGTAAAAACCTTTCTCATTTTACCAACAACAAATTTTGGGAATTTTCTTAGCTCACTTTCAGAAAAACCAAAAAAAAGTACGTACATGGTCGAGCATTTATAGCTCTTTCAAGCATGCAAGAAGACGACCTAAACGACGTCGTGTACACATACTAAAACGACTTCGTACGCTATTTAATCCAACTAAAATGAAAAGAAAACAAAACGGTGTCGTCTTAGGCAGAACGACACTGTATGAACTTAAACATAACAAAAGAAAACGCAGCAACAAATCATGCAAAGAAGAACAGGAAAATGCATGCAAACAAGAGATCTGCTCCATGATCTTCAACAGGTATTACGACCAAAAAAAGAACTGACATTTATTCAACGCACACACAANAAAAAAAAAAAAAGTAGTAAATAATGCAGCACAATGCTTGATAAAACATAAAACATAAAACAGCAACATTTCCAGTCCACTAAAGACGACTAGCCGCGTAACTCAGATCCCAAAATTTAGCAATAACACACCAACGTACCGCGTACGAATCACTTACCCTCGAAAACCCGGACCACCAGGCCAAATCATTCTTTATTCTCTTCTCCACAAGCTAAAAAAAAACTCTTAAATACAATACTGCAGCAGAGCTAAGCCACACACACACTAGAGCTTGAGATAAACAAACTCCTCGATAGCCGGTATCTCGCCAATCCTCGTCAGCGACTCCTTGCTCGGCTCCTCGTCCACCCCAATCGCCATCACCGCCTGCTTCCTCGGCGCAATCCTCCCCACACTCATAAAACTCACATTCACATTTTCCTCCCCCAAGATTCGACCCACGTTCCCAATCATCCCCGGCTGATCCACCTGGTTGCACAATATAATACTCCCTTCCAAGCTCACGTCCACTTCAAACGACCCCACCCTCGTCAGGTGCGGAATTCCATCTTTAACCCTTCCCTCCACTTTGATCTCACCCGACTCAGATATCGCGCTCGGGAACTTGGACTCCACGTCAGCAATCCGGAGCTGGATGAGCTCGACCGGGCTCTCGGGGGACGCGTCGAGAACGACACGTTCTTCGGTTATGCGGAGGCCCCTTTGTTTGGCGGTGAAATCGGCATTGACAAGGTTGACGAAGGAGCTCGAGATGGGCTCGATTAGGCCCTTTGTTATCATGGCGCGGAGGAGACGGGTGTCGAGGTCGTCGGGGGCTCGGCCGGAGGCGTAGGTGACTTTGACGGTCTTCACGCCGCTGCCTCCGGCAACGAGCTGGACGGCTAGGCGGCCGAGCTTCTCCGCAAGGGCGACGTAGGGCTTGAGCTCGGTCAGAACCTGACGAGGTTGACAAAATGTGGTATGATTAGTTGTTACTTGTTAGTGGGATATTAAGTTTATATTAAAATAATATTTGAAATAAAATAATTATAGATTTGATGTAAAAGTAGGAGAGAAATTGAATGAAGTGATGATTAATTAAAATTATGTGAGTGGATGAATAGTGAATTAAAATTGATGCAATGAGAAAGAATGACTGATTGATAATATCTAATTATATTGATAATATTGATGATAGTGGGTTGGGTTAAATTTGAGTTAGATTTGAGTTAAAAAAGGAATTGATTAGAAATGATTGAATTTTTTTGAGAATTTTAGTATCCAAGCATGCACATAATAATTTTTGTGGCTCCCCGAGTGTATCCATCTGAAGAGTGCATACAGTTCCCAAATTTTATTTTCTTTTTCTGCTTTTTTCGGAGAAAGAAGTTTGTAACTAGTGTATGGGAAATAAAGAAGGAACAGACTCGGATTTCAGAACTGGGAGTGGGAATCAGCCATTTCTCTCTTCCTTACATATAAGTAATCAGTCTACAATGGAATGAGAGAACCGGAAATATTTCAGTTCAACGGGAAAAAATATTGTCAGGGTAATGCTAAAGGTATATATAAAGTTATTTCCAATGAGCATGCCCTCAGGAAGTACATTGAACTTCGGGAGAATTGGTTTCGAGCAAATCTTGATTTGTAAATTCTATTATATTTTAAGACCGCCTATTATGATGAGGTTTAGCAAGGTGAACATGTATATTGCAGCAAAGTTCAATTATTTGCAGGTATCAATCATGGTAATGTATTTCCATTTAAGAATTTAGAGGAAATTGGACTGCAGCTAATTGAAGTGTACCTGAGCAGGAACCATGGGTGCATTTACAGCAGTAGCTGACAGCTCCCCTTTCAATGCTCCAACAACAGCTTCAGCTATTTCAATGGCGACTCCTTCCTGCAAATATATTGAAACAGAATCACGCGAAAATTTGAAGCACAAGCAGATGGGAATTAGTTGAGCGTTAATTTTGCAAACCTGAGCTTCTGTAGTGCTGGCACCTAGATGTGGGGTTGCAATTACATTCTCATGGTGTACCAGCTTGCTGTCTTTAGGTGGTGGCTCTTCGGTGAAAACATCAAGGGCCGCCTGTATAGCAATGATATAGTAAAACAGTAGTTATTAGCAAGAACAATAGTTGCACCCATGCCCCCACTAAACGAGTGCTTACACTCACTCATGCACACAAATTAAAAGGAGATAAAGTGATTCACAAACTGATATTTTTGCTTCTTTTTAATCGTAATTGAAAAGCAAGAGTGATTCAAATTTTGATTCACACACTTTGCGACTTCTCAGCTGAAACAATCTCTGTATAAATTTTTAATCATCTTTTAGTTCATATTTCGCAAACACTACCCAACTTATGATTCCCAGCCACTTTCACATCAGCAACATTAAAATCAAAAATATTCGCAAAACACTTCTTGTCCATAACTATTAAAACTAAACACTTTCTCTTAAGCATCATCTTTTTTTTTTTCAAGGATGAAGGCAAGAACCTGAGCAACAATGCCAGCATCAATCGCCCTCACTAAAGCCTCCTCGTCAATCACACCCCCACGCGCAACGTTCACGATTCTGACCCCCTTTTTCATCTTCGCAAAAGTCTCGTCATTTAGAACTTTCGATGTAGCAGCAGTGAGAGGCATGTGAAGAGAGATGAAATCGGCAGTTGCAATAGCCTGGTCAAAGCTGACAAGCTCTACCCCTATTGCACGAGCACGGTCGGCTGGGGCATAGGGATCGTGAGCAATGACATGCATACCGAGTCCCTTGGCACGCCTAGCAACCTCCGATCCAACCTTGCCAAAACCCATGACAGCCAGTGTCTTGCCAACGAGAGATACACCTACATATTTGCTCCTCAGCCATTTCCCTACATCGACCCAGAAAAGACTTGAGAATTGTCAAATGCCCAAAAATCTGTAAAAATTGCAGCTTATTTTATTTATCAATTCAATACAGGATCAAATCTAACATCAACTTTTAGTAGCATTTCAACTAGACGTTGAGATGATCAATTTTGACTCTGTTCTCCCCACAAATCAAGTGATGCAGTAAAAGATTATACTGAAAGGCAGAAGCACTTGAAATACATAACTCATGAATGTAGACCACAATATAAGATGAGTAAAGCATAAATTGTTTGTAAGGTTCTCACATTTAAAATGAATCACTAGTGTGTCGAATCTTTGATAACACATTGCAATTGAGAATGAAAATGAAAGTATACTTTTCCTAAAACATTCAACTATCACATGCTGCATTTGAGGTGGAATATTGGTACAAGACTACTTTGGCTGATTTCCAGATCTAACTACAGTATCTTTAACCCCTCAGCATAATTATAAAAAGTTCGGGTGTCATCTCTTCACATTTGCAGCAAAATCCAAGAATCAAGTGACCCGGGTATGGAATAAACCATACAAGTGAACCCTGAGTTTTCAATTAAATTGCCATACCAAAATTCAACTATATTTTATACCCAGAAGAACCAATGGATCCTGTTCGACGAAATGTCTCAAACACCCAAAACAAAACATCACATAGCACCAAGGTATAGGTACGAGTAAAGATTAAGAATCAACAAACTAACCAGCCTTGACAGAGGCATCGGCCTGAGCAATGTTCCTCGCCATGGCAGTAAGAAGCGCGATCCCATGCTCCGCCGCCGCCACGGTGTTGGCAGTCGGCGCATTCACCACCAGACAGCCGTGCTCCGTCGCCGCCGCCAGATCGACGTTGTCGATCCCGACGCCGGCCCTTCCGACGACCCTCAACCTCCCGGCGGAGGACTCGAACACCTCACGGCTGACCTTTGTCCCACTCCTCACAATCAGCGCGTCGCAGAGCGAGATCTTGGTGCGGAGCTCCTCGGGACTGAGGCTGTACGAGCAGTCCACGTTTGCGAACTCCTTCAGGAGCTTCAACCCGGCGTCTCCGAGCTTCTCCGCCACCAGAATCGTCGGCTTCGCGTCCATCGCGAGGACGACGAAGCGGCGGGGCTGGCCATCTCGACGGCGGAATGAGGGGGTGGTGGTGGGGCCGAAGGTGGCTGAGTGTGGGGTTGGTAGAAGCCGGGAAGCCGCGGCGGAAGGGGGCGAGGGTTTGAGGCCAGTCCACGAGGCTGAAGCCGCCATTTTCAGAATCCTGTGTGTTAGGGAAGACGGTATGAGCTAAAATGCGCCGCTTTGTGAGGAGTGTGCTGTGTGTGAACGCTTTAAGTTGGTAGAACTAGTTATGGAATTGAAAAGCAACTTTTTAATTGCATAGGAAAAATGACTTTGTTTTAAATAGAAGAAATTGAATGTATACTTTATAATTACCTAAATGCAAGTACTATTTATTTAACAAAAAAATATTGCGGCTAGAATAATTTTTGTGGAACTTCAATAAATTTGTGATAGTATTTATTAAACAAGAGTTCTGTATAACATACCCCTAGAGGATCGACCCATCTTATTATTTGAACAAAAAATGTATATTTACATTGACAATTTGCATATTTTTATTTATGTTATTTCAAGGCGTGTCACTCGTGTATAAAAATATTTAGATATGTTAAAAATATATACCATCACTACTTTTTTTTTAAACCACTTTCTTGCGTAAGAGAGTTTAACATATAGTACTATTTGACAAATATAGAAACTTATACCTATACCAAACTATTATGTCTGCTAGAAGAAAATAAAAAGGTCTGCTAGAAGAAAATAAAAAGTTAAGGAAAACAAAATGTAATTGAGTACGTAGACATATGACATTGGTGGGATATAGTAGTTGGTGGAGGTCCAAAGTCATACGAATGAGGGTTGGTGAGCACTAATCATAAATCAGTTTATTGAATATTGATCCATTGTTGTCATATTAAAATTGGTTGGGACGGACTATTTTTTATAGTGTTACATTATATCAACTTTAATTTATTATTCATTCACTCACATAATTTTAACTAACTATTACTTCACATCATTTTTTTTCATACTTTTACTTCATATCAATTTTAATTACTAGTACAGTCCCGTGCGATGCACGGGGATTTATTATCTTCGTCTCTTTTATAAAGCAATGTTCAGTTAAAATTCAAAGTACTTACTAAAGGAAAAATCATGCCATTAATAATAAATAAATTAATAAATACAATTGATAATAAAATCTATATATTATTGAACACTTCCTTATATACAACGTTCATGTTTGATTCTTTGGCACGTCATCGTCGCCACAAATTAGGACTTTCAAACCCATTTCTGTTTGTGACACGGGAGACAGCAACATACAATTGACCATGACTAAACACTGGTTTCTTAAGAAAGAAGCCCACATGCGATAATGATTGTTCCTGACTCTTGTTTATAGTCATGTTGTAAGAAAACATAATGGGAAACAATTAATCCAATAACATCTACAAAAATATAAGAAAATGCATCATATTGAAATGTATAACATATAAAATAGTTTATTTAAATTAAAAAAATCGAAATAAGAAATAAACAAAAAAATTATAACGTACCAAACAACATGACTTCATCAATGTTACGAACATCCATTAAAGTTAGAAATAGAGAAATCACCTCTCCATTTGATAAATCACCCCTCCATTTGATAATCTTGGTTTGACCATTGATAATGATCCTCCTTTTACCTATCGTCGATTTATGGATGCCAGTATTGCTATTCACTTGATAGTTTGTCAAGATATAAGCGCCACCTTCTTCGATATCACCGATGATTTTTTGGATATTGACAGGTCGAATTATGTCAGTAATTCATCCTCCCTAAAACATTGCATAATGAATACTTCAATAAACAAATTATAAAAGATGTTGCATAAAATGATGCATTTAAATAATACTAAATGAATATATTACCTCAAAATCATAAAAGATAATCTCAAGAACATTTCGGTAATTGTGTACGTCTTCAACTCATTGGAACATCCTAATTATGCGTAGCTTGATTGGTGGCTTATTGGATCTTTTGATATCCTTGATTACTCCAAAATCCGAAGCCATTTTCAATGGTGATGTAAAAGCTTGTAGAAAAAATTGTTTTGTGGGATATATTGGATGTCGAATACTTTCTGTTCAACGTTGGTGATGTTTACATAGTCATGTGTATGTGCCATATGTCTAGGAAATAAAAAAATATTTACGTAAGGTATTTAATATGATCCGATCCGATTTTTTTATTATGATTATGATTGACTTCTAAAAATATGTGTTATCGGTTTTGTTAAAAAAATAAAAAAAATGTGGAATGTGATTCACTTGTGAGGGACGAACGAATATTTAGAAGATTATGTAGCCAAAAATAATGGAGTTTGTTATAATGAAATTTTGGTAAGACTTTTTGGATAGATTGAAAAATATTATTTTTATTTTGATCTATTTATTTGAACAAATCCAAAACTTTAATTTACAAAATTATAATATTTAATTTTTTGAAACGTGTAAAATTTTCTAAGATAACTTCTATAAAACAAAATGTGATCAAATCATAATTGATTTTTATGCCTCAATATTCCAAATCAAACCTTACAAATATGGTATAATTATTTACTATTAATATTTTATTTTTTCAAACGTCTGAATCTCTTAGGTTTATATGAAACAAAGTTCAATCAAATCAAAATTGATTTTTATGCCCACACTAAAACTTTATCAATATGATATGTTTATTTTATTTATTTATTTTTTTTCAATCCACGACTCAAATTTTCGAGAGAGAGAAAAAAAAGGAAACAAAATCTTATCAAACCTTCGAGAGAGGAAAAAAAACAAAAAAAATTAGAAACAAAATCTTATCAAACCTTATCAATAATGAAGATTCGTGTTTCCACGAAAAGCTAACAAAATCCCGTGGTTACCAAAATCTTATCAAATTTGTTAAGAAAATCCCATTAAATTGGTTAACAATATTGGAACGCATTTTGTGAGGAAAGATTTACATAATTTATCTATCTAATTAATATCATATTAACGTGTGGGCCCAGTGATATTAATTTAGTATAGCATCCATTATCTCAGAATAATTATTTGTTTGATTTACAACATTAATTTGAATGGAAAAAAATCCGTAATTGTTGAGATATCTCAATTCAAAATCTCAATTTTTTGGCATAAGAATTTTCAAATTTGTTACCAATAAAAATAGATTCCTATGGGATTAATATTTAAATGTATTAAATTTTGGTATAAGAATCTCCAAATTTGTTACCATAAGAATCTTCAATTTGTTACCATAAGAAACCCATAAAAATCTCCTATGGATTGGAGTTTATCCATGTTTAGTATAGCATCCATTATTCTCGGAATAATTTTTTGTTTGATTTACATCATGAATTTGAAGGGGAAAAAATCCGAAATTGTTAGGATATCTCAATTCAAAATCTCAATTTTTTGGCATAAGAATCTCAATTTGTTACCGTAAGAATCCCATAGAAATCTCCTATGGGATTGGAGTTTATCAATAGTTGGTATAACATCCATTATTTTTGGAATAAATCTTTGTTTGATTTACAACATTAATTTGTATAGGAAAAAAATCCGTAATTGTTGAAATATCTCAATTCAAAATCTCAATTTTTTGGCATAACAATCTTTAAATTTGTTACCAATAAAAGTAGATTCCTATGAATTAATATTTAAAATGAATTAAATTTTGGTATAGGAATCTCCAAATTTGTTACCATAAAAATCTCCAAATTTGTTACCATAAAAATCTATTTTTTTGGTACATGTGTTTTTTTTTCGAAATTTCCATTAATAGTAAGTCAAACTATTTATTTTTTTAGTCAAACTTACTATAAAAGTATTTTTCCAACAACCTCTTTATATTACTATAGATTTTATTTTAAATATTATTTTAATATCTATTAATATATAAAGAGGGAATGATAGTTGTTTGAAAAAATCAAGGAGAAAATCAACAAAAAAAACATTTCAATTCCCGCCTAAACAATAAAATCTACTAAATAGAGATATTTTTTTGGGCTTCAAAATTTTTTGAAAGTTTGAATTGTTTCATTTCGGTTTCTTAGGAAAAAAAATCGGGAGTAATTTAGCTAATTTGGAAATAATATTTCCCCTAGATTTGTGTAGTGTCTATCCAATATGCACTTCATTTTTTAGTTGTTCAGAATAATTGTTTTGTTTCAGTTAATTTTGACTTATCCCTAAAAATTATTATCAGTTTTTCAATTTTTTTTTTTTCTTTTTTCTTTTACCAATTAACATGAATAGTATTTTAGTAATTGATATAGTAAGTACACACGAAGATGACAACAAAAAATTAATCAAATAATGGTATTAAATATTAAACCAAACTTGAGTTAAAATCTGATTGTCATGGCAATTAAGAAATGATTAGTTTGATAATAAAAAAAAATATGATTTTAGTTCATTTAAAAAAATAGATTAATTCTTTCCAATTTATTTTATGCCAATAAAAAATTACGAAAAAATTTAATTTAAACAATATTTCACCAATTTAAATAGTACAATTTCACTTTATTACTTTAAACAATAGTTCACCCGTTAAAACGGGACAATTTAACGTGTGAAAATATGTGCGAATACTTTTTTAAATCTGTGCGAATATTTTTTTTTTTTTATTCATGTTTGTTTTATAATCAGAATTAAAATTAATTTTAAACCTAATTATCAGTATGGTTAATCGTCACAGAATCCCGAACATATGAGCAATAAGCATAATGGCAATACAATCACAAATCCACAAGCCGGTTTGTATACTTTGAAATTAAAACATTACGAAAAATTTTGGTCAAATATTGCGGCTATTACCTTTATTAGTTGCATAATTTAAATTTGGAATATAATATATTGACAAAACATGCAGCTACTACCTTTATTAGTTGCATGTTTAAATTTGGTATATAATTATAAAAAAAAATAAAAATTATTTTATTTAAAATTTAGAATAAAAAAATAATTATTCATAACTTACAGGTCAATATTAACTTGGACGTAAACGAAATAATCAATTATTTATAGTTTAATAAATTACTCATCAACTTAATTTTTTTATTTGAATATTTTATACAAAAAAAATTATTTAAGTAATAGAACAATATAAATTTTATGTTTATACTTATTATTCACATAGGTTGTTAAATATATGATAACATTTTACCAAAATAACTATTTTATGGAATCACATTATAGTTAATAGAATTTTTGAATAAAAATTTTGAAATAATACTTATTTTGAAACGAATATAATGTAATTTATTATCAGTTATGTGCACCACACGGGTCGTGTACTAATTTTAAATAGACACTT